TAGCACTAATTGGACACAAGGGATATAATTTGGTTGATCAAGGTTCGGATTCGAGGTTGAATCCTTTCGAAGAGAGAGGGGATGATGTGATCCAAGGTAGGCTTCCAAGTTTCAAGGAATTGACGCATTTTGATCGGGAGCCAAGGTCGAGAATTGAGCTAAGTTTGGCACTAATTTGGGGTAATAAAGCCAATCAATATCATCATCAAGCCATGGTAGTTAACATATTGAAGATTGTTAGCCAAGTGACAAGTTATGTGTTGGGAACAAAGGTCGGAAGCAATTGGAACGAAGTGGAACAAGTAGCCGAAAAAAAGAGGCAAATACCAAGCTGTATGACGGCACAGCATTGTAGCCATGCGACCGCACAACAAGAGGCAGGGATTTGGCTGGCCAAAATCATATGAACCATGAGACCGCACCGTTGAAGCCGGAAGAGAATTTCTTGCCTTGTGCGCGAGAATTCTATTTTGTTTAGATTTCTTAATTTTGGAAAGTTTCATATTCTAGGAGTTCTAAATCTCCTTTTTTACCTTATTCTAAGGATATTAATTTATTTTAATTAGGTTTTATGTTTCCCTGTATAAATAGGATTATTTCATTGTATTTTGACAAGACTTTGATTATTGAAAATAGAGATTTTTCTCGTGAAGCTTCGCTTCAAACTTTGTTCTTAAATGGACGATTCAAATTTATCAAGAAAAGTAATTCTTGGCGTCACAAATCAAGGGAGATTTCATAAATTGGGTAATCACGGGGTCAAAATATTCATGTAATTGTCTTGGTTTCTGGTTCGATAATTTATTGGGTCGAGCTTACAATTCCGGATTTTGATTTCTATAATCGTGTAATCAAGCGGTCCTCCATAGCGTCATTCTTGTTAGGTTGCTTGGTTCACTATTTCGGGGTCAGATCCATAAACTTTGTTCATGTTGGCGTTCTTGGGATCCGATTTAATATCATGTGGGTTTGATTGCAACCTTACTGATCGGGTTCACATCATGTATGTTCAGGTAACAAAAAATATGGAGAAAAGGATCCGTAACTAGCAATCGCCTGCAAGTACTAGCAAACCATTATTACTGATGAAAATTATTTTTATTTTAAATAAGCAATTTTTAAGGGCAAGAGTAAAACTGTAATAATTAAATTGCAATGCAGATGCAAGATATTATACGCAAATGTTTCGTACTGTACACGATGATTTGATTAGATTGTGAAGTTCATCCAATTATGTCCCACACTAGCCATGCATGCAAAAGGGAGCTAGTAACGGAAAATAATGAACGTCTATTACTGGTATTAATGTATTCGGAACTGGTGGATCTGGAAATATTTAGCACAATGGTTAGAAACATGTATTTTACATTAACGTCACACGAAAACATGCATAAGCCATAGAAAATCGCGATAATATTGCGAACATGTACTACGGGCCGTAAGTACACTGACTAGACGATCCAACGATAAAATGGTCACATCCGTAAAACACATCTCCCATGCGATTACCGGCTTCTAAAACCTGACATCTTGTCCCGTTCGAAACAATACGAGATCCACCGGAACCTCAGTTCAGGAGTCTTAACGACACTGTACACTACACGGTTGTTGGAATTCCTTAGGGACCACAGAGCAAACACATGCAGCTCATCCCCGGCGGTGACAAGGCCTGTCGAAAGAAAATCATTGATGCACTCATGGAGAGTCATTCGACCCTCTTCTTTCGAACGGATCACCGAGGCCATCTCTCTCAATGCGCTAGCGAGGTTATCCACCGACTCAGAAACCTCCCTAGCTCCAAACTTCTTATACTTTCCCTTTGCATGTTTGTCCTTACGTTTCTCGCCGCTCCGATGATGAGAAATATTCATCGAAGAGTTCGTTCGTCCCTGTGTTGATCCATCGCTGGAATCAGTAATCTTAGCGTTGATAAGTAACTTGTCGTTCAGGTCATCTGTGTCAGTGTCGGAGACTAACTCGAACCCACGTTGAGATAGCCTAGTGGGTGTCAGTGCGTACTTCATGGAGTTGCAACAATCTCCGAATACGCGGCGTACGTGTGGTAAATTTCGTTGTTGTCGTTGTCCCTGAACTTTCCATACCAAGGGTTCTTCTACAATATGATAAGGAAGCAGTATAACGAACGTGTGTAGTATGCAATCCAAAGGGGTTTTAGGACAAAGAACTGTACTGCATGTCATCGTCGATTTCGTACCTTTATTTTTTGCTTCCACCACCAGTCCGGTGCTTTTATTATGCTCCATTTGCTGAGACCCATTGCGATTCTTGTGCTCTACATCAACTTGAATAGCAGTTTGTAGTCGGTGCGCATAGAGCCCCAATGGTTCTTAAGCTGGGTAATTGTCTAGTTCTTTTCGGCATTTTTGTTGAACAAGTCGCATATGCGCTCCCAACCTGTTGACGAGAAGCACTTTCCCCGACGATGGCCCTCAGTAGTGACACGCTCGATGACAGCTATGGACATCTTTTGCTCACGAGGTTCCCATCTAGCATACTTGCGGGTGTTGAACTTCTTTTCGAGGTTGATACTCAAAGGCGTACCCTGAAAGGTGTCTGGATCGTGTGAAGTGTAGGTATGCAATGTAGCAAAACGGAGAGGTCAAAACTTGTGATAAGATGAGGCAAGAAAGGATTCGTGATAGAAAGTAACGCAAATGGAATACAATCATGGTCATCGCATATGATGACAATTGACATATGTTGTAGAATGCATGTGAAGTCCATTAGTATCAACTTAATTATTATAAGCAAACATTACACATATATGAGTGGATTAATTCAACAAATAGCACAGAAGTCAGGAAGGCACGGTATGGTGATCGATATTTAAATGAGGCAAGCTGCTTTCAGTGTCAAAACTGTAAGGTATTTCTATCGTATTTACGTAGCTTACGAAAATGTTTACTCATGTCACTGCACCGGGGACCGAGTCTCTACGGCAAGGGAAGCTGGTAGTCAATGATTTGCAACTACTACGTTAATTCTATCCACAATTACATGTTGGAGTTTTGAGATATGTGCAAACCCAACCTGTGAAGAGTAGAGGGTAGATGGAATTGCATATGGTCAACGAGGAAATGAAAAATACAATCGTGTTGGGAAACGTTGGTGAACAAATTGCACTCTGTTGTCGGAGTATTGTGCTTTCTATTTCAATTCCAATCACATAATGATAAGAAAATTAATAATAGACAGGTATCATGGTCGAGTAAATTAGGACGACTCACACAATCCGAACAGCTATGGATAGATTACAGTTGGACATCACAGTATGCGTGTGAAAGCGGTGGCCGCCGACGGTCACTTATGTAAGGGGGATGCAGAGACAGAAGGTGGGGGAATATTAGATATCTGTGCTTAGCATGTTGGCGGGATAGTAACCTCAGTTGTCGGCTTCGTTCGCCATTCTATTGTGCAATAGAGGACGCTCGGAAGGAAGACCTACTTTCCTTGTTGCCGGCGGACTTCAGTTGGAGGTGTCGGAGGTAGCACTTGAAGAGAATGAGGACTACCTGTAGGGGGCTGACACCGAATACGACTTGGCACAGGTTTGGATCTTGGAGACGGCCACCAGGGAAGAGGACGATGAGGACATATTTGAATCTGTAGGCTTAGCCGTTTGTGCGAATTGAAGATGTGAGAGGGGAGATGGGGAAATTATTTGCAGGGGTAGGTAGCCAATGGAAATTATGGAAGGGCAGTTATGACAAAATTAGGCCACTGCACCGGGGTATTGTGGGGAACGAAATGTGAAAGTGTGGAGTTGTATAATTTCACTCTACCAGTAGGTGTCAGAGAGTGGCAGCTTTGAAGAGCTTCCTTTATTAGCTGTGCTGTTGGAAAATGTTGAAAAACGAAATGAAACGGGGATTAAACGTAATGTTTGCGCACCAGTAGGACAATAAGTTGCTTATTCGTTATGTTGGAAAACTCACGGTAGGTAAAACACTATTATTGGTACACACAGACAATAAATGTTAGGAATAATATTTGTGGCGTGAGCGATCATATGTGATAATCCTAAATTTCAATGCATGTTTACTGTATGAATTCGGACTAGGAATAAGATTGTCTCGTGGTAATCATAAGTTTATTATATCTTGGGAAAGAATAATAAATAATAATGGAATTATCGATCGTCTCAATTGCATGAATTAAGATAAATATTACTAGTTGAGAATTAGAACTAAGAATTAATTAGTGGCGTTAGAAATTCAATACATTCACATATTTGATTTTTAAACCAACTTTCATTACTTTCATAAGTTTTAGTTATAAAAACTAGTTATCTATTCATTCGATCATCATTTGGTTACAAACACGAATTTAAATATATCAAATATACTAGAATTGACCATTATTCATTGTGTGACGATAACTCTCTCATCACGATTATTACTTGTACAACGAACCCGTACGCTTGGGGAATTTTCACAAACATAACACTTTAACAATCAAAGTTCCATTTCCTCACAAAAATTACATTAAATAAGCATTTTACTCATGAATCTAACAAGTTCTAATAAATTGTATAATGTGATTTGTATTTAAATGAATTTATCATTTTGAATCATTTAGTTGCCATGTGCTTAGCACAAATGAGGTTGAATAACATTATTCGTTAAATTTTATATTATTTAATAATTAACACTCCATTCAATTACCAAATAAGCACCTGTTTGGTAGAGATTATAATTTAATTTTTATCATATATTTTATATGCATGCATTTTTTTAATCAAACGTTTCATCAACCTTTATTAAAATATATTAAAAATCTATTTTAAATCTCAACAAAAGTTGCTAAATAAAAAAAAGATTAAAAATATCATGTTAGAATGTAAAATTTTGAGTCGTGAGTGGGCCATACCAATGAAAGCCAAACGGCCCAAACATATTTGTAGACTTGACAACAATGGAGTTAAAGCCCAACATCAAAAAAGGGATCACAGGTAGCTTGACCGCCTTACTCGTCATTGAAAGTTGAAACACAAGCTGGGAGACCTAGATTTGAGACTCGTTTTCGTGCTCCTTGCCTCTCTTCCCTCCACTCTTTAGGACCCTCCTGATCTCCACCTACTTGTTGAAGAGGTGGGATTCCTTGATATTAAGGTCCAGCACAGGCAAGTTAAAACCCTAACATCTTAACACAGCCCTCACACGTCAGATTATCTCCTAAGCATATCTTCCATCTGAAATTCGTTTTTGTACAATTAATTATTTCTATGGAGGGATTGAAAGAATGCGAAGCAAACTTGGTGGTGTATCTCCACCCATCCATGGCCAAATGCGTTAACGATGCTATCCTCCGCGAGCTAAGCTCTCTACTCTTCACGTAATTTTTCAAGTAACCCTTTCTCCTATGCACGAGATTGTTTCTCTTTCGTTATTTGTTTTCCAATTTCTGGATTCTTATTCTTGGATTTTGCTACTTGGTTGTAAAAACGAAACATAAGCGGTTACCGAGGTGATGGGAAAAAATTGGATGGAATAAGTTTTCTGCTTGTCTTTTCAGTGGGCAGTGTGATATAATTCAAAGATTATAGTGCTGCGAGAGTGGGTGAGCTTTAGGTGCTTGCTTCAGCTTCTTAAATGAATTGTCCAATAATACAAATTCCAGTGCTCTGTTTGTATAATAAAATAATTTCTTTGTGCCCAAACTCAACAACATTCGAGTTCCTTTAGAATGTAACAATTAACGCATTTGGATATAAAGTACTATAAACTGATTTCTATATTTGAATCTGAGGGTTTTGTTTGTTTGAATTTGTTTCTTGTACTTATAGATACAATGAGACTTTTGATGGTGTTGTATTGGCGTATGATCCGAATGTACGAAGTAATTTGGCAAAGATTCTTCCTGGAATTCATCCGTATCTCGGTGTGAGGTTAAAAGCAAAATTGTTGCTTTTTAGTCCCAAGCCTAATATGCTTTTAGGTAGTTTCCCTATCGTTTCATGCTAGTTTGAATTTTGAATATTTTGATGGAAGGTGGAATAATTTCAATGAAATGAGGACTATGTAAATTGGATGAGTTTGTTGATACTCTCTTCTTTTCATTTGTCCCTTTTCGCAGAAGGAGAGGTAGTTAAAATTGGTAGACAGTCAATTCATGCTGTCATTCTTGGTTTTTCATCTGCTGTTATAGCAGATGAAGACATTCGCGATGAATTCAAGTGTAAAGTTGTAAGTCTCGTCCTTACCGATCCTGTATTAGCTATCATAGTGTGTGGGATAATGCAGTATTATTGAGTTTTTATGTATTTTCATTTTGCTGCAGAAACATGGTAAGGAAGTGTTTGTTAGCCGACGTCACAAGAAACACAAGATCAAAGTTGGAACCATAATACGATTTTTAGTCAAGAGGTGAAATATCTGCTAGGTTCTTTGTCCAAAATGAGGCTTTAGAGCCTATTGGATGCGATTTTCCATATATGATACCTGTTTTCCATTTAAGAAAATACCATTAATGGTTTTAGTTAGTGAACTGAACTGAACTGAACTGAATATAGTTTGTTATTTTTCATCAGTTGCATTCTATATTTCTGCACTGATTTAATCCAGGTTTGAATATCATATGTTGAAATTTGGAAAACCATATATTTTTAGTTGCAAAGGATAGTGTTTACTTTTCTGTAATTGCCAGTTATGAAAAATTTGGGCAGGCTTGCGATATGTATACACACTTTTGTATACGGTATACATTTATTTTGAATGAAATGTATCTTGCATAGACTCCCCCATAAAATTTGCAGTTCATTCATTCATTCAGCATTGCAATTGTTTACATTTTATTAGCTGTATACTATTCATTACACTATTTTCAAAAACCCCCCCCCCCCCCCCACCAATCCCCACATAAAATTTGCAGTTCATTCATTCATTCAGCATTGCAATTGTTTACATTTTATTAGCTGTATACTATTCATTACACCTGAGACTTTCTGATGTTAGTGATCATTAAAAATTTCTCACTCCCACTCATTTGTGTCTTGTTTGGGTCGTGGGATAATCTACATTGTGAGTTATACTCATTATTGATAGATATGGTCGAATGAGTTACTTGAAAGCGTAATTAAGCATTAAATGACAGCAGGGGTTTAAAATTCCAAAACAGATGGACATCTTAAACCAAGCTGAGAAGGATGATAAGTCATAGAGCTATTGTATGTTTTAGGAAAGGAATATACATTAGAATTAAATTTTCTTTTAGGGGTTATTTTATTTAGATTTAGAAGAAAAGAAACCCACTAACAAAAAATCTTTATTGTTTGTGAAAATATATACGGAATAGGTTGAATAAAAAATTGACTTCATATTATTTATGGAGTTCTAAAAATTCCTCTTGAGTACAACCAAGATCGCATTGAAATACCTAATTTTAATCACAGTGACTTCTTCAGAATGAGGGCTGTGGTTTTCAGAGAGCCATTTAGCTGCTTCAACCTCCTTCATGGGCTAATGTTGCTGTACGTTTCCAGTGGAATTGCTCATGATGAAGTTGTGGATCTTCTTTGTGTGCATTTTATGTTTGATTCATTATGATTTGTGAGGACAAAATGTGTGAAAAGTCGTTTCTCTCTCTTCTAGTCCTTATTCTCTTATTTATGTGCTGAGATTATAATTCATTTTTCTACCATGGTTCAACATTTTTTGTATCTTATTCCTTCTCCATTAATTTTTTTCTTCTCCAACTACAGCTCTAGTAAATGCTACACACACGTTTAATGTGTATTATACTGTGCTTCCATAATATGTATTACCATGAAACTGTAAATGTTTGTGCATAAAATATCAAGCATAGGCACACGAGCTTTTAATTGACTTGGACCTTAGTCTTTTCTTTCTTTCTTTTTTTTCCTTTTTTTAACTTGGGGTTCATGAACCCCACCAACTCGAACTCTTGATCTTGAAAGTGGAATTTACCACACAATTCCACCCAGACAAAAAGGGCTGGTTGGACCTTAGTCTTTTCATTGAAGCATTTTCCATCTTATGCTGCTACATCATCCATGCTAGTAGATATATGCTGAGATTGTAAATTGTAGCGTTCAAGGAGTATGTTCTAAGAAATATAGGTTAAGAGTGATTTTTAGATTTTAAAAGTGCATTGCTTGTAGAATTCTCAGCACCTGTATGCAGTTGGTTTATTTTGTTCAATCCTAGGTCCACATTGTAGATTACAATAACAAGATTTACAAAAGTCTGTCTTGGAAAGTTGTTCATTGTGTTATGTTGCTTTTGTTGAATTCAATCATGTTCTGTGTCCTTATAGCTTTGACGAAGAGATACTCCACATTTCTGGTTCTTTGGCTACTGCCAATGCGGGATGCGCGCGATGGTTAGATACAAATTTGGAAGAATGGTCTCAAGCTGACAGGTCACGATCTAACTTGTAGTCAACTCAGTAATGTGAAGTATATCCGTCAATAAGCATATTTATATGATGCTGACCTGAAAGTTTTCTATTATTTAAAATGTCACTGCAGTACCCCTAGGAAGAGGAAAGATAGGGATGAGAAGGCGGAAAAGACTGCAGATGACAAATTAATGGCCAGTAGGGATATCCCTTCCTTGAAAAAAGATGACAGAATTAAGAAGTTGAAGAAGAAGAGAAAAGAACATACATGAAGTTTACTACTGATTTGCATATGCATTCATTCTCAAGACGCGTGACTTAGAAGTAATTTTTTTTTCTTACTGAAAATTATTAGTGGATCTTACTTCAATTGCTGGCGGCCTCATCTTGCAATATGCCTTTTGACTTGTAATGTTATGCATACAAGTATTTTCTCTGTACAATTTCTTGCAGTTTTCCCTGTAAATTTTGCGCCGTTCATAGTGTTTATCATGATATAGTTGTCACTGTCTTCTTAAGCTTAGCATCGGTGTACTTTCTAGATATTTCACAGTTAATGATATTATTGTTGTCCTAAAAATTGTGTGAATTGGTGAAGTTTTTGGGAGAAGCTTTTGCTTGGTATTCCTTATTTTTTGTTTTCCTCCACTTGTATATGGCTCGAAGTCCATCCTAGTTGGATGGTAGGGATCGAACTCTAAGAATTACTCGTGCCATTCTTCAATTTAGTTGTTTAGTGTACTTACAAATTTCTGAGCTTTTGATTCCATGTGGATCATGTCATGTGTTTTCAACCCTAACTCTTTTTGAGATGCCCAGATTTTTCCTAATCCCTTTGACACCGTAAAACCTCACTAACTGAATGGTTATCTTCTAGGGTACTGTTTAACACAACACCTAGAATAGCCTGTTGAACCTTTTTTCTTTTTTTTTTTTCCTCTTTTCTTTTATCCATTTTCTCCTGAAACTCCAAACCTTCAATTGTGTATCTTAAAACCCACATTTTCCCAGTCATCTCAGCTATAAAATTAATGAACACTGAAGTTCCTCATTTTATGCTACCATATTAGAAGTAAAATTTCAAAATTATAGTTTATAGATCCCCTAACTAGTCCTACATAATATTCCTCCATTTTCGATACCATATGATAGCGAGGCTCATTTGAATGTTTGTCTCGATTGTGGTCACACAGGTTGTGGAAAGTAGATCCCTTGGGGGCGCAAAATCACGTGAATGGGAGATGTAGAGAAGTGGAGGAAATAAATTTATTGTCATGTGGACTTACAATTTCGTCTCACTAGGGTGGAGTTGTTTCTAGTAGAAGCTATGTTAGATACATGGATTTTCATTGAGATGTGTAGTTGTTTGTAAAATTACCATCTAATGTTGATTCTTCTTCCGGTTGACACATTCGTTTTATCATATCACCTTCTGGCGGAAAGATTCAACACTCAATCAAGTATTGACCTCTGTTTCAGCTTCTTTTTTCTTTAGATTGTGGTCTACTCCGTGTAATTGCTTTAAAATCCTAATCTAATGATCTAGTTATAGTCAATATGATTCTTATTGAGCGTACGACGACATGTTTACTTCATATAGACATACATATCAATGTGTTGATGTTGGTGGAGTATAATTGTCACACCATACAAAATGAAAATGGAAGCTGTGGATTAAAAACTTTGTTCAGGATTATATCTGATGTATGATTATCAGCGTTGGGGATTTCAGGTTGATCTGAATTGCATCTTGTTGCCATATGCAGGTTGGGATTTTATAATCTGAAGAACGAAGAAGCATTGTGACAAAAACTCTTATGTAGCTGAGACTTTTAACATGCTTCCCACGCCCGGCCCAATTAATAAGTTTTATGGTAAGAGGCATTTGTAGTCTTTTATATTGAATTGTGAAGAGCAGTGGATTTGGGAATATTTCTTTAGTTTATCTTTCTCATCATTTGTCTGACCTACTTCTGGGATCCCTTCTTTTCCCCCTCTTCTTTCTGGTAAGCTGTGACTGTGAACATGGATTTCAAAGATCTCTGTAAGATATTATTCCAATTTTATATTTCCTTAGACCTAGACAACATGGATTTTTTTAATATACTATAATATAATGCCATAGGATACCGTTATATAACCGTAGAGTTTTAGGTGTGTTGCTGGATATTAGGCACATGATAATGAGGTCTAATGTTTGTTAACTATTCTGGTTATCAATATTACGTTTCCATTATTTATATTCCAATAGCTGAATGAGGAAGCTTGTATAATACATCAATCATTTTCAATCATTTGTTTACATGCATTATTGGGGCCCCAATCAATTCAAATATTTGCTTTAATATTTTGTGGTAATAGTGATTAAGTTACGTAATTTTTAGCTCAGCAATAACATAGTTTTGGAGGAGGAAAATAATGTCTTTTAGTTTCTTATATTTGAAAGTTTCTCTTTAGTATAATTTGACCTCAACATTGCAAATGAAGTGATTAAATTGCTTGGGATAGGAATAAACAATTCGAGAACGATTTATTTTCAAAAGAAACGTACAATAAAAATCATATTTTCGCTGCATCTCATCAGTAAGAAATAAATAAAATTTAATGTATATTTTTCAACTTGTGTAACTTTTGCATCTGGTAAGTAACATTGGAAAAGGTAAACCTCTATATGGTCATTTACAAAACAAGTTCAGATATGTTTCTTATATGTATGACCTCAACGAATCGAGTGATTGACTAAAGCATCTCTTAATCTTCACTTGTAACTGAGTTTCGGCAAGTTCCATTTTGCACGTCATTTATTGAATGATCATTTGTGATTACAACGATGTTGATTCCAATCTATTCATGACAACCCCTAGAGGAATAATTGAGGGAGGAAGATATGGAATATTGAATGCAATGGGCGGCTATAAAATGTATTTGGTCACTCGATGGAAGTATGGAAGATATGGGATTTGAGATAGAAAGAATTTCTTGGGAATGAGCTATTCTGATTCCAACATTATTGCAAGAGAAGAGAATATAATTTTCTCTCACGTATTTTACATGTATTTGTTGGTAAAGATAACTGCCAAATACTTTAGCCCTGACTTTCATCAAAAACCCCATTTTTAATTGTTTGCATGTAATTTTATTTTCAACTATTTATACAAAGATTTCGGTCCGAGATCTCTAAAATCGACAGTCTTTTGTATTCTCAGTTAACACAAGAGTACAAGAGTTTGACAAAATGAAAATATAAAAGTATTCAATTTAGGGCTGGTCAAATCTCCCGAACCGAACTCGATTTTTGTCAAATTAAATACCCAAATGGGTATCTGAATTGAGAACCGACGAGTACGGTTCAGTTCTCGGTTCTAAACCAAGAACCGAAAAATCGAATAAGAACCGAATCTTTCTAATTTTTTTTTATATTGAGTAAATCAAATTATTTTAATTTTAATTTTTTCTAAACAAATTAACAATTTCTAAATCTAAATTTTTTGCCCAATAATTTGTTTCATTTCTAATTTTTAAATTTTTGGCCTAATTACCCATTTTATTATTTCATTTCTTAGTCCAACAAAATTCAATCTACTAAATAACCCTAAACACCTACACTAAAGTGCATAACGTTTGTCTTGACTCTCGCTAATATTCCAAAATCTATATAATCGTCGGTCGACACTGTGACCTCCGTCGACCGAAGCTTTGACTGTAGTGATCATTTGAATAATGTAGTCTACTAGTCTCTGACATTCCAAAACCATTGAATGTATCATTAGTTCTATTTATATAATGTTGTTATAAATGTTAAAAAATTTAATTATAGTACAGAACCAAACGGAATCGAACCCGAACGGTTCCATAATTATATTTGGACTCGACGGTTCCATTTACTAGATACCCGAAAATTTTGGTTCGGTTCGATTTTAACCGAACTGTTCTTTAGAACCGAACCGATTCGCGTAAGAGAACCGAGCTGAACCGAATCGAACCGATTCGTGCCCATCCCTAATTCAATTGATTGAATCTTGATATATAAGTGGGATTTAAAGAAAGAATATAATGGTCGTTGTGAAGCTGTCACCGCCCAATTCGACGTCTGAAAAAGTGGGCATCGCAGCTTTCGGTTTGCATTCACACATTATAAATCATCAGAGGCCACTAACAAAAATCTTTATTCCTTGAAATTTGTGGAGTCGTTTGAATATGTACATTCTTGTGCATATCTGTCTATACTTTTCCATTCAATTGTGGTATCAACACTAACATCATTATTGTTATAAACAACTTAGAAAATATCGGATTATTTTGATATCAATTTGTTGTAATAATAGACGAGAAAAAATACGGCATAATATGAAGTGATTGATCATAAATTCAAAAACAAGATAATTTGTATAGAAACTGAAATTTCACTAAAAGATGAAAAAAGAAAACAATGATTATGTATTTATAATTTGTCTAACTTGTAATAAGGTTAAAAAATCTAACTAAATTGCAGAGAACAATCAAATACATATATGGAACAAATAGGGGACGTTCATAACCGTAGTTTTAGTGTTGTAGAAGGAATAAAATGCTGAAAACGCATGTAAAAAGCGAAAACGAGCCTGAACCAGATGAATATGACACTTTAGAACCAGTAGGGCACCACCCCGCCGCTCAAGCACCCGGCTGGTGCTAGGCGGTGCCAACTTCATTGCTTTGGAATCTCGAGCTCCAATCGAATGCCAGGCAAGCATAATTGTGTTGAAAAGTCTTCCTAGTCTATATTTTGATCTTTTGAAGTCCAACGCGAATTTTAACTCCCAATTGAGCTTCCAAATAGAATTTCAATTAGAATTTACTTAATAGACTTTGAATACATTTTTATCAAAATACATTTCTCTCTCTTCTTTTTAACTATACATTCTTCATTAAAATAATATTATACTTAAATAAAAAAAATCTTTATTTTTCATCCACACATTCTCTATCAATCTACTATTTTAAAATTCATTTTCCCATAAAAATGGTTGTCAAACACCCTCTTAACATCATTGAATAAAGCTTATTTGTTAGAAAAATTTAGAAATTTTTTGACATCTTTGTTGATATTTACTCACTTGCAATGGGACTCGTTTAAATAAAAAATGCCAAAAAAGTGCACCCCTCCCCTCCTATCACGAGTGTCTATTAGAGAAGGTGTCAAGGATAAAAATATTTGTACAAATCTTGTTGACAAAATGATGTACTCATTCTCACAAAATCAGCTAACCCTACATAAATTTAAAAAAAATGTCCGCTTGTGGTCCCCGCCCCCATTGTGAGTAGTGAGTAAGGGAGTTTGTGAAAAAAAGTTTGTACATATAGCACGATCCAGGGTGTCAACCCTCTCTGTCAAGATAGCTTGGTCCAACATCATTATTGTTATAAACAACGAAGAAAAATATCGGGTCGTTTTGATATCAATTGTTGTAATAATAAACGAGAAGAAATATGGAACAATATGAAGTGATTGATCGTAAACTAAAAAACAAGATAATTTGCAGAGAAAAATGAGATTTCACTAAAATATGGAAATAGAATATAACAATTATGTGTTTATAATTTGTCTAACTTGTAATAAGGTTAAAAAATCTAAATAAACTGAGAGAATAATCAAATAAAAAATCTAACTAAATTATAGAGAATAACCATATACATATAAGGAACAAATACGAGACGTTCATAACCCTAGTTTTAGTGTTGTAGAAGGAATAAAATGCTAAAAACGTATGTAAAATGTGAAAACGGACTTGGACCGGATGAGTATGATGCTTTAGCATTACGAGGGCACTGCCCTTCGAGTCGAGTGTCCGACTAGCGCTAGGCGAGTGCTAGCTTCACTGCTTTTGATACTTGAGCTCTATTTGAATGCCAGGCGAGCATAATTGCGTCAAAAAGTCATCCCTGATCCATATCTCGATCTTTTGAAGTCCAACACAATTTTCAACTCCCAATTGGGATTCTAAATGGAATTTCAATTAGAATTTGCTAAATAGACTTTGAATAGGATTTTAATTAAAAAAATTCTTAAGTTGACTTTAATTGGAATTTTCAGTTATTATTAAAATAGATTGCAGGTCACACCTTAATTCTAACAATCATGTATACATGTTTGCATCCGTACGTTGGTCACGACGAATGAAATTGGGGCATTTGGTCATGGCTAGTTACAATTGGCTGTATACGCACATCACGATGAGACCAATCGAGAAAAGTACAGAGTACAAGAATTTATTTAATGTGGCATACTAATCAGATCATCTAAGACTCGAGTTGCGAGATGAGTGTTTTGAAATGTTAAAATTTGACTCGTTCAACGCCACTAACTGTAAGTGGACGGGATCTTCGATTTCACCATCATTAAAAAGAAGTAAAACATGCAGGTACGACTCTTGGGTGTCCACTCAAATGTTTTTGACGCACGCTTAAATTGTCGAACCACAAATTTTAGTGCGCGTTGGTCCCATTGGAAGGAAACCGTAGGATTCTCAATTGTAAGACCAACTGCTTGTACCTGAATACTTCTTGAGGGCATTTTCGTCAATTGAGAAATATATAAATGAATAAATTTATTCAAACCAAAAAAAAAAAAAAAAAAAAAAAAAAAAGGTTTTAAAAAAAAAAAAAAAAACATAAAAAGGCTTATCATAATATTGTGCAAGTCGTAACAACTATGCATATTGAATTTTATTGCATAAATTCAACAATGCTTTCTACTATTATACATAAAATATTCTTTTTTATTATAAATAATGAGTCTCGAATACGCTCCAAGAGTAACCCGATCAATCAAGTAATTAAACAGTGCAATCAAATAATATGCACTAACCGATTAAAATCTACTTTTGAAATTAGTACATTGCATTTGCCTTATACATATTATTATTTTTTTTTAAAAATACTGTATACTTTTAAGTACTACTTTATCTACCATTAATTTCATTATTAATTGTTTCTCTGCAAATGGATTATCCTAACAAAACATAGTTACAGCTATAAATTAAACAATACAATACTTTTTTTTTTTTTAAACTTTATTCGTTAAAATCGCGTTTCAATCTACATTTATTTAAGAATCTTTTGGCTGTTGCTGTGGTTAAGTGACACGTCTATTTTGCACCACACAACAATCTTTTGTCTTTCTCTTTTCTTTTCTGTTTCTCAACTTTATTTAATTTTTTAATTCATGAAATAAGTTGAAGACGTGAGGTACGGAATCAAATGACAGAACAACATTAGCTAGCAATTAAAATGCTACTTCAATCCAATATATCTTATAGAAAATTAATTAGTAGATTTAAAAATCTACATTTTATTTTGGCCAACAGAATTAATTAAAAGAAAATAAGGAAATGATAATTTATGATATGCAGCTAGAAAAACTTCATATTTTTAATTTTATAAGTCTCATGTTTACCCTAAAATCAATGAGTAATGTTATTCGTAGTCGCTCAGTACGGTAGTCGCCCTACGTGGCGGCATACACATGACAGGTGATTATTTGATGCATTAATGTGGTAGTTTTTTAATTCATTAATGCATCAAATAATCACCTGCCATGTGTGTGTCACGTAGGGTGACTGTCGCAGTGAGCGATTGCAAATAGCATTATTCAAAATCAATGGACAATAATTAAGGTTCATTTAATCTGAAAGTTTTGATCTAATTTATGTCACGAGGCATGTGCATGATCTGCCAGTCAAAGCTAATTCTTCACATATTCTTGATAAATATATTTTTTTTAGCGCAAGTCTGAATTAACATTAGAAAATATATTTAGGGTCTAACATAACTTTTGAAAAGTCAGAAGTCGTTTATGAAATTATCTGCTTTTAAAATTTTTTTGTTTGATTAGAAGAGTTTTTAGATGAAGCTACTTTAACGTCGCTTCTTCAGAAATCTCTAATACAAAAAGCGGAAGTAAAAGTAAAAATCTTATCAAACAAACCCTTAGCATTGTATTTAAGAGGATAAACATCAAGATTACGCCTTCTCTGCACATAATCTCTGCCTTAATTAACCTCCTTTAAACTGAAAAATAATATTAAAAAGTCATTAAATTTGTTTAACATAACATTTAGAAGCATGCAACGTTACGTGGCAGCTTGCTTCGAATAATGCCAAACACATATCCACTAATTATGTTGGATAAACTGCGTCGGTGTTATCGGATCAAATATTATTAACCGTTTGGTGCAATCGGACAGCCTGGTAATGAAGATTAATCACTGTCTATTGGCCTTAACAACCTCGTTAATCTCGTAATTAGCAAGGTTTTGTTAAGACTCTATGCTGTCATCCCGACCATTTCTGAATCTTTTGCCACACGGTTTAGCACTAATCCAAATGTTCGTCAGTTCGTGCACAAGAGTTTATGTGACCTAAACATTTTGGAGGATTCGAAAACTCGAAGATTATCTAGTAGGAGATTGTGTTAAATGAACTTTCACTACATTACAAACAAGAACAACTAATTGGTTGTTAATCAAAAGGACAAACATACTAAAAATCAGCTGCCATTATTGAATGTTAGTACCCAATTTTTTGTTATCGTGACTATCCAATGAAATAATAAAGGCCCTAGACATACAATTTATATTATGATACATTGAAATCAAATATAAAAATTCATTTGGATTATACCTATGAGACGACCGACCATTGGTCTTCCTAGGTTGGGTCTCGTTTCATGACGGAAGTGATAATATGACAATTGCTATACGTGGTATCGTTATGAACATCTTGATGTATATTTTAAGTTAAATAAACTATTGGGACACGACAAATGCTTTGTATCTTGACTCATACCAATTGGCTTATGACGTGTGGAAGTGTGGTCGTTGAGCACACAAGGATGAGCAAGGTGAGGTAAAATTCTAGTGTAAGAGACTTGTGTCCCAACATATTAAATTGGATGATTATACCATCATGAAATGTACATTTTCGATTGACACGTGCTCAGTTTAAGTGGGGAATGCATAAAGAGTCTACAGTCGATCAAGAGTATCATAACCCGTACATAGAAAATGGTGATGATGAAGTGACCCACAATACATACTTGAGGCTTACCAAAACTAGTTGGAAAACAAGTGAAAACACATGGCTTCTTTGCACTCGAGGTTACATAGATTTGACGCTAAAGTAGCACAATGATGCATATACAACATATCGTTAATAAGAATCGAGATCTCAACAGTACACTCAAAATATTACAATTTCTCCGCATTATATTCCCAAAATCTTTCCTGTACACAAGTGCTTGTGAGTAAGTGAATAGAAACAAATGCACAAAAGTCCAACTTTGAGAAAGAAAACAAGGAAATATATAACATCATTAAGAGATTTTACATGACTCTGCCGGATTATGTTTGGCAAAATAGATATTGGGATGCAAATTTGCCCAATACATTGAACAATGTTAGTGTATATTATTTGATCCGTATATTGTAGCAATTGGAATATTATATGTTGGATTAGACAATACGAAATTTGATTAAAGAAATAAAAAAAAAATATATTTTTTAATCTTTTATTCAATTCTCGACCCTCCAAGTCTTTAGTGACGCCTAGGGTATCATTCTCCCTTGGCATCCTACTGACCCTTCAAATCTCAACGCCCATTACCAAAAACAATCAGAATCTTTTCATCCCTAACCAAAAATAATAATAAAGAAAACCACAAATTTAATTTTAGGGTTCATACTTCACATCAATGCCACACGTCAAGACCTAGATGCATGTACTACATGAAGCCAAACACGATTAAACTAAAATGTAACAAAAACAAATGATTAAAAATTGATAAAATTTGGATTGCAGCCAATGAATTTTAATAAAAATGATGGACGAGGCAGTGTTGCACATGGTTCATGGGAATAAAAAATTATTAGACAAATAAAAAAAATGTAATTTTTTATTTATTGGGTAAAGAAGAAAAGCATCTTTTATAGAGTCAAGCCAACTACCCGTAAGAACATAATAGATTTTATTGAACCTTTTCTCAAACTTTGCACGCGGATGCTTTCGAGTGCACGGCCCTCCATATTTACTATTGATCGCTGCCGTTGTTCCTAAACGGCAAAACCCTTTTTTAATTGCATATTTGTTATGTTGAATGAGAGTTCGTGTTATGAATATGTATAAAGAAATAGTCTTCTTTTCAGTCACATTCTCTTCTCGGGTTATACTTGATGTACATAATTTATGTACATAAGGGTGTTCACACTCTTCACATGAGTGGGACACCAAGACTTTTTCTTCTCTAAAATTCCCTTCTTTTTATTCCAATTATATGTTTTTCAAATAAAATAAATGTAAATTCAAAATATTTTCTACTACTATTAATTACATATTCTTCAAAATAAATAATTTTAAACATTTATTCAATAAAAAAATGAGACTCAAATAGGAAAATACTTATTTGAAAGTATTGAGAACATAACGTTCTAGAATGAAAGTTAAAGTTCGTGAAAATATTTAAGCAAATCAATAGGTGATATGTTTGATACATTGTTTTAATATTACTTAACATAATACTCGATAATGATTTATCCACTATTTGGTTTAGATAAAAATCAGATTTTTTTTATAAATTTTGATAGAATTTTCGTTTAAAAAGTTGTGCATTCCATAAAATGGATGATTATTTATTAACTGTCATAAATTTTAATAAGATTTGTTGGTTGAACTAAACATGGGCATAGCATTTATTAATACAATTCCCAATATGTAATAGTCAATACTTAAGTAAAAGCCTAAAATCAGTTTTAATCACATATTCATAATTGTTATTCATTATTATCCACACATTTCACGAGACTTACTACTATTCTTATTTATAAATTTTGCCAAACACAAATAAATTTAACTTTTTTTTTTTTAAGTTGAAAATACAAAGAAGTGTAAATATGTGAAATATTTATGAAGATCAAAACGCTTAAATATCAAATTGGAATAACAGCAATTTTTTTTAGTCAAGAATATTCAAGTAAATTCCTAATTTTTTATTGATATTTTTAGCTTTCATGCGTCACCTTTGACACTTTTAAGACAACCTGTATTTCACTTTTTGCCCCCAAAAGAAGAAGATAATGATTTATTTATCTATTTCGATAATCTAATTTATGAAAAATAATATATATATATATATATCGCTTAAATATCAAATTGGAATAACAGCAATTTTTTTTAGTCAAGAATATTCAAGTAAATTCCTAATTTTTTATTGATATTTTTAGCTTTCATGCGTCACCTTTGACACTTTTAAGACAACCTGTATTTCACTTTTTGCCCCCAAAAGAAGAAGATAATGATTTATTTATCTATTTCGATAATCTAATTTATGAAAAATAATATATATATATATATATATATATATATATATATCACCTCAAGCAATTGCCCAATCACAGCCATTGTCCCTATGGTGTAATTATCACTAAACCTAAGGGCATTTGCTCAAACGCAACATTATATATCGCCTCCTCCTCCCCCGTAATTCGATCTCCTCACTTTCTCATTCAAAACTCACTCCACCATAACAAAACAAGCATATTAATTTTCTTTGAGCTTTTCCTTACCAAAAATGTCTGCATGTAGCAAAATCAGCCACATTGTAACACTCCGCTGGATGCTGCGACAATGGCGGAAGAAGGCGGCGGCGGCGGCCATCAGCACCCGCCGCCGTATACCCTTCGACGTGCCGGCGGGTCATGTGGCGGTCATAGTCGGGTCTAATTACAAAAGGTTTGTAGTCCGAGCGACGTATCTGAACCATCCATTGTTCAAGAAATTACTGGTTCAAGCAGGGGAAGAATATGGATTCACCAATTCAGGCCCGCTTGCCATTCCCTGTGACGAATCACTCTTTGAAGAGATCCTCCGGTACTTGGCCCGCACGGAATCGAATAAGAACTCGGCCAGCTTCATGACATTCGAGGACTTTCAGAGATATTGTCGAGTTGGGATTTTGAGCAACTTTGATTTTCGGGCCGAAACAGAGGCCCTTTTGCATCGGTGAGAAGCATTTCAAACTGGGTTGACTCATTTGAGTTAGGTCCTTGCACAGTGACTGCTAGAAAATTCTTCCCAGGACGGTGATTATTTTTGTCCTTTTTAATTATTTTGTAACTTTCTAAGTAAATTAATTTGAGCGGCCTGAGTCAAGACTGGTCTAGAGACAGAATTATAATGGAGATGGCAAGCGGGTGGGCGAGTTACCACCGAGTCGTCCCGAGTTCCATAAGGACGGAGTCAACCAATGACACAGGCGGAACTACCCCTATACTAATGCAAATTACTCAGAGTAAAGTAACAAGTGAAGATTTTTAAGGTCACTTTTGTAATAAACGAAATGTGATTCTTATTCATTCATTATAGAAATTCAATCATGTATCTTCATTTCATCATTGATAAAATGCAACAAATTTTTTTTTCTTGAATATTTTTTTTTATAATATAATAGTTATTACCGATTGGTATAACGTGCTACAAACCCATAATTGGAGTTCTATATTTTCTTTTCTTGGGTGCACCAATTTTTTATAGTTAAAACTAGAAAAATCGTAACTCTTTTATACATTTCTTCTACTCTCATATTCTTCTTTCATTTTTTTCTCCTTTTCCATTTTTGATATCGAATATCTTGGATGAAGATTACTTCATTTCATCATGACTCGTTTTTCACTTTACAAGAATTCACATTGAAATAGTTTTCAATTCTCGATATATAACCAAGATAACGGTTGATCTTGATTTATTTATGTTAAATTTACATTATTGAAAGAGGAATGTGGCAATGATGAGTTAGATGAAGAATAAGTCATTGGACTACACAATCATTAAGCTGGCAATTGAAAAAGTTCGTTGTTGCTTTAGAATTAATTAAGGGCATTTGACTTTGATCCCTAATGACTTCATAGTTCAAGTATTTAGGTGGAATTTAATATTATGGACTAAACAAGAAAATAGGTAAATTACCTTACATATAATTTATTAAATGGCTTAACTCTCACTTGAAGCTTCATATTAAGTATTAACCGATGCTAATGTTTGATATATCTAGTTTAGGGGTAAGGTAGATATGGATGTATAAACCACTAGTCATACTACACAAAGGTTTTGAAGACCAAGTCTCGCCGAATAGGCTAAAAAGTTTTGACATTTTCGATTTACATTTGACAAATTTATAAATCACTATAAATCGATCATATTTCAATGACATTTTTAATGGGCCCATAAGTATTATTAACTTATTCATTTATCATTTCTATCTATTTATAAATTAAAATATTTATAAGTTCCTTCAAAAGAAAGAAAATAATTATTGTAAAGCTGTCCAATTCGAGCTGGTGCCTGGTAATGTGAGATTTTTTTTTAATTTTTGGGTCATAATTCATATTGAGAAAGTACGATTTGAAAGAGATTAGAGAAGGAAAGAAGAAAATGAACCTAAGACCCTCGAAAAATGCAATTTGGTAGATGTGCTAGCCACTTTGTAAAGCTGTCCAGTTTTATTTTTTGTTCATTGGCCAACATGGGCCGGCCTGGCTCCAAAAAGGTAGTTTTTAGCCAGGCATGACAAAACGTGGCCGGTTTGGGCCTTTACTATACACTTGATAAGTTTAGATCAATTCTTGATTTTCATGTTTTATTTGAGATTTATACTCATCCAAATACTAATTCAAAGAATGGATTTTACATTACGTAAATCATAAAATGAAAGGTCTAAGCTCGTAAGTGATGGATCATGTTTCTTGGCTAAGAGACAATTTCGCTATATACTTATTTCTAAGGTCAAATTTACTATTTTCCTTGGATTCCATCTTATCTAAAATGCATTTTTTTCTATCCACTTTTAAACCATATTCTCTAATAAAATAATATTATACGTAAGTTAAAAAAATTTCATTCTTTTTTAATTTCACATTTTTCAAAAAAATACTATTCCAAAATACTTTTTTTTTTTTTTAAATAAAAACCTCATTAAAATGGAGTCCAAACAAGAACAAAATTTCTTTTTCACATGACATCCCCATCCATGCCTTTTCTCCACAGCCATGCCTCCGGGATAGTCGCTGATAGACAGTGAGAATCATCTACCATAAATTAATTATCATCGTCACTCATAAAGGGATATATCTAAACCGAACGTCATGAGACATGCCGTCAATGTCCTTCGCTTCCATAGTCATTATTTGATGTAGGCCCAAGGTTATTTATATTTCTCAGTGTGACCCAAAGAGAGAATTTTAAGTGAGGGAGGGGGTTCAAATGGCAAATTAAGCACGTGAAATGAGCATTGCCGAGTTGCTGCAATGTGGAAAAATGACAGGGATGCGCATGCCGAGCCCACTAAACAAAAAATAGAAAATCCTCAATTTCTTAATTATCTTAGCTCCATTTTGTGTACTTTTGTGGAAATCCCCAAAAGGACAAAATTAGAAGAATGTGGAGTTTCACCTAAAAGGACTGCGTTATGATATCTCAATGTCACATAATTACACTTTAATTACAATGTCAAGACTGTCGCTACAGAATTATTCATATGAATTCAATAAGTGCCTATTTGATTTGACCGATTTTCCATTTTTCACATTTTCGTATGTTTGATTGCAATTATTTTCTTTTCTTGGCAATTCATTTTCCTTCCTCCCCCACATGAGGAAAACCAATTCTCATGAAACCATGGGGAAATTGGTTTTCCAGATGGATTTTTTTTTTTTTTTTTTTACACTCGTAAGTGATGGATCATGTTTCTTGGCTAAGAGACAATTTTGCTATATACTTATTTCTAAGGTCAAATTTACTATTTTCCTTGGATTTCATCTTATCCAGAATGCATTTTTTTCTATCCACTTTTAAACCACATTCCCTAATAAAATAATATTATACGTAAATTAAAAAATTTTCATTCTTTTTTAATTTCACTTTTTTCAAAAAAACACTATTCCAAAATACTTTTTAAACAAAATAAATAAAAACCTCATTAAAATGGAGTCCAAACAAGAACAAAATTTCTTTTTCACATGACATCCCCATCCAGGCCTTTTCTCCACAGCCATGCCTCCGGGATAGCCGCTGATAGACCTTGAGAATCATCTACCATAAATTAATTATCATCGTCACTCATAAAAGGATATATCTAAACCGAACGTCATGAGACATGCCGTCGATGTCCTTCGCTTCCATAGTCATTATTTGATGTAGGCCCAAGGCTATTTATTTTTCTCAGTTTGACCCAAAGAGAGAATTTTAAGTGAGAGGGAGGGGGTTCAAATGGCAAATTAAGCACGTGAAATGAGCATTGCCGAGTTTCTGCAATGTTGAAAAATGACAAGGATGGGCACGCCGAGCCCACTAAACAAAAAATAGAAAATCCTCAATTTCTTAATTATTTTAGCTCCATTTTGTGTACTTTTGTGGAAATCCCCAAAAGGACAAAATTAGAAGAATGTGGAGTTTCACCGAAAAGTCAATGTCACATAATTACACTTTAATTACTATGTCAAGACTGTCTCTACGGAATTATTCATATGAATTTAATAAAGGCTTATTTGATTTGACCGATTTTCCATTTTTCACATTTTTGCATATTTGATTGCAATTATTTTCTTTTCTTGGCAATTCATTTTCCTTCCTCGCCCACATGACCATTTTTTCTTGGTTTTGTAGAAAACCAATTCTCATGAACCCATGGGGAAATTGGTTTTCTAGATGGATTTTTTTTTTGGCAATTGGAACAAATTCTATCCCCAATTGTAATAAATTATATCATTTTAATTGATAATTTTCATTAAAAACAAAGTTAAATGAACACCCAAAAATAGAAAATTTCAGCATTTTTTAGGTGAAAAATTATACCAGTTAAACACATTTAATTAACAATTTTCAGGAAAATAAGTTTTAGACAATTCAATTTTCTGTAATTCGTTTTCTTTCCATCCAAATTTCATTCTTGCAATGAAATTAGTTGGCTGCTCAAATCGAGAAATGGTACAATTAAATAAGTAAAATAAAAATAAATAGTACCAATGAGTTGGTAAATACCAATTTAAGGCAAAGTCGAATCCAATGAAAAAACACCCTATAGTGCATAGAGCTGGTGGACCAAAGCTATCCTAGGTCAAAAGAGTGTGGGTCCCAATAGGGTATAATTTGGTTCCATTTCTTATCTCCTTATGCTTTCGTATCAACAAAGCAAAGGTTGCTTGTCCAGGGACTATATAGTCATTAGCAAACTTCCAAAGGGTAAATCCGTCACCTCACGTATGAATTTTCTTTAAAATTTGTTAAAGACAATTATTTTTATTTTTTGGCATACTACTTTATGCGAACAGTAGATTTTTTTCCCAAATTAGATGGGGGAAATATTGTCACTGTTGAGAATGCCGACAAATACAGGTTTCAGTAATCAGCAGGCTAAAACGTAGTCGTTTCAACTGGACATGTACGATGATTGTGGTCCCACCTTAAATGAAAATTGAATGAGAGCAGCTTTAGCTCCACTGAAACGTGTGGGACTGTGGTCCCGTCATTTCCTTGACCTTCTATTGCCTTCAAATTCAAAAAATTCGCAAAAATTAATAATTTAATATTTAATTAATTTAGAACTGCTATTTATGAATGGGTCCAATGAGGTACAGACAGCTTGGGATTAGGACTTGAAGTACGGGGTCCCACAGAGTAAATACGGGTAACCGAAATCACATAAACCGGGCTCCACTTATTAAAATCCGGTCAACGGTCTCAAACCAACCGACCCATATCGTCACACACTGTTGTGACGGTGCAAAATTTTTAGCTTATGCCAATTACTATTTTCTTTTTCCACGTCTGCCTCTCTTTTTTATTAGTATATATATTCTCACACCATAAAAATAAAGATTTAACATGAATAAAATGTATTATAAAGAAAAACTTCTGTTGTTATAAATATAATACAAACAATCAGCCATAACACAATTTAAAATAAATACAAAGATTTATTTTCTTGGCTAAGAGACAATTTCGCTATATACTTATTTCTAAGGTCAAATTTACTATTTTCCTTGGATTTCATCTTATCCAGAATGCATTTTTTTCTATCCACTTTTAAACCACATTCCCTAATAAAATAATATTATACGTAAATTAAAAAATTTTCATTCTTTTTTAATTTCACTTTTTTCAAAAAAACACTATTCCAAAATACTTTTTAAACAAAATAAATAAAAACCTCATTAAAATGGAGTCCAAACAAGAACAAAATTTCTTTTTCACATGACATCCCCATCCAGGCCTTTTCTCCACAGCCATGCCTCCGGGATAGCCGCTGATAGACCTTGAGAATCATCTACCATAAATTAATTATCATCGTCACTCATAAAGGGATATATCTAAACCGAACGTCATGAGACATGCCGTCAATGTCCTTCGCTTCCATAGTCATTATTTGATGTAG